CCCCCTCCTGCCCCGTTTGAGGCCCCGCCCCTTTGAGGCCACTCCCCTCCCTGCCCGTTCCAGGCCACTCCCCCTTTGTGCCCGTTTGACGCCACGCCCCCTCCTGCCCCGTTTGAGGCCACTCCCCCTTCCTGCCACGTTTGAGGCCACGCCCCCTCCCGCCCCGTTTGACGTCACACCCCCTTCCTGCCCAGTTTGAGGGCCCGCCCCTTCCCGCCCCTTTGAGGCCACGCCCCCGGAAGGTCACTTCCCCCCACGCTCCTCCTGGAGCTGGTCTTTTCCACGAGGGGTTTGACGAACATTTCTCATGCAAAGCGAGGACGTGGCGGACGTGTGCGGGGTTCTGGGAAGGTGGCGGGAAGTGCGGGGTTTAGGGGGGATAGTGGGAGGCCTGGGGGACTCTGGTGGGAAGTCTGGGGTTCCTGTGACGTCATCGCCTCCCACACCGCCATCCTGTGTGTGACGAGGGTCCGTGAGCGCTGCCCCTGTGACGTCCCTTCCATCTCGTGGGTAACGACGGTCTAGGCGGTGCCGTCTTCCGTCCCGTGGGCGCAGCCGGTGGTGCTAACACACAGCCTCCAGGAAGCAGTGTACCCGGCCATGAGGAGCAGACTGGGAATGGGGGGTGCCGACCGCGGACATTCTCCCGGACTTCCGGTGGCGACGTTGCCGTCGGAAGAGCTTAGTCCCCGTTTCACAGTCACACTCCCGTCACGGGGGCGGACGCTGGGCTCTGAATCGCTGCCCCTCTCCTTGCACCGCAGCCTCGGTCCCCGCGGCCGATGATCTGCTCCCCTCGTGTTTCCCCCCAGACCCCCGAGGAGGGCGCCTGGACGTCCGTCGTGGCGGCCGTCAGCCCCGAGCTGGAAGGACGCGGTGGCCATTACCTGTACAACGGGCGCGAGACCCCCTCCCGTGACGTCACCTATGACCGGAAGCTGCAGCAGAACCTGTGGGCCCGGAGCTGCGAGCTGGTGGGCATCCCCGACGTCACGCAGGATGCCTCGTCGGCCGAGCTCGAGATCCCACGACGGCACCTGTGACCGGAAAGCTGCCAGATGACGGGCATCGCTGACGTCACCCGCGAGGCCCTGTTGGCCCAGCTCGAGCCTACGGTTTCGCCTCTGTAACTTTCAGCAATATGACCGCGTGCCCCCTCCGCAATGCCATCTGTGCCCTTCAGCCTGGGCTTCGTTGTCCTGACATTTGAAGGACTAAGCATAAAGATCAGCACCCTCTGGGTCCCCAAAGTGCTAAACTGACTGATAAATACCTTGAACAATTAAATGTTCCCACGTCTGAGTGCCATCATTGCAGTGTGCTTAGCCTCACAGGGGCCAGGCACCGCACAGGGAGAAGACGTGCGTGCTGCTCGGGCCGTAGAGGGGGGTACGAAGAGGGGGTCCAGCCAGCTAGAATCGGCTTTTGGCTACTCAGGTCTTACACGTAGGTGCTGGGGACTTAGATGTCCGTATCATTATAGAGAGGTGTTCCTTCATCCCTAACACAGTCCCAGCACCCAGTGCCACGGGATCTTGAGACCCAGACCCCTAGACAGCTCTGGAGGACTCAGATTCTATGACGTGTCACGGTGGGTTCGTGACCACGCACCCTGCACCACAGTTCCCACAAATAGCATGGTGCTGTGTGATTTGTACTACGTGGACAAACACCACCCTGAAATGTTCTACGTCGAAGCCAGGTACTCGTCCTGCACAAGGCTCAGTTGTCTCTGCACAAGCCCCCTCCGCCCCCCCTTTCTTGGGTGAATCGTTCAGTTTTCAGGAATTGAGGTGCTCAGTCACACTCATCAACGTTGAAAACAGTTATGACCGTGCACCCAGTACCCAGATCCTGAATTCCACCAAAATTCGGATGATGATGGTGATGATGATGATGGTGGTGATGATGATGAGGGTGATGATGTCATGATGATGGTGGTGGTTGTGATGATGTCATGATGATGGTAGTGGTTGTTATGATGTCATGATGGTGAGTATGATGTCATGATGATGGTGGATGGTGAGGGTGATGATGATGTCATGATGAATGATCACGGATGAGGATGATGGTGATGACGATGGCGATGATGAATGGTGATAATCACAATGATGACGATAATGATGGTGATGATGTCATGATGAATGATCACGGATGAGGATGATGATGGTCATGACGATGACGATGATGAATGGTGATAATCACAATGATGACGATAATGATGGTGATGATGTCATGATGACAATGATGCTGGTGATGACGTCACGATGAATGATCAAGGATGCGGATGACGATGATGGTGGTGTTGAGGATGATGACCAAAATGATGACGATGATGGCGACGATGCTGATGCCCCTGAGCTCCCAGAAAAAGCAGCCGTGTTAACACCTGGAAATTCAGCACACGTGTTGGAAGACACAAGCGGCGAGGCCTCAGCCGTGCGTGCGACCGTAAAACAACACCCACACTCCGCACCGCCTCTCCCGAGCTCTCCACCCGTGACGATTGACGTGCGTGTGATTCATCATCACGTCGGTCTTTCATTGACTGAATCCGTGACGTTTCTATGAAAACGTTTCTCCACGATACTGTTCAGGGCAGCATAATGTTTTATCCAAACGTGTCCTGATGTCACATCACGTCTTTGGACGAGCACTCAGTGCTTGGAAACGTCTCTCCATCAGCCACGATGCTCCGCAGATAGGCGCCAGTTTTAGGTCCTATGACTCCCAATGCAAGACAAGGGACATTGTGTTAGGCAGGGGAGGCATGGGGTGCTGAGCTAAGTACCATAAAATAGTTACAAAAATACCAGAAATGTAATAAAAGATGAGGAGTTAAACGAAGCTGGGATTTGGAAATAAAATTGTCGCATAAAACACGCAAGACACAGATCGAGGGTTGTCTGTCTCAGTAAAGTGCTTGTAATTCAGTGGGTGGAGTGCTTGTAGCTCTGTGGGTGGAGTGCTTGTAGCTTAGTGGTTAAAGTGCTTGTAGCTCAGTGGGCACAGTGCTTGCAGCTCAGTAGTTACAGGGCTTGTAGTTCAGTAGGAAGAGTACTTGTAGCTCAGGCTTGTAGCTCAGTGGGTAGGGAGCCTGTAGTTCCATGGGTACAGTGCTTGTAGCTCAGTAGTTACAGGGCTTGTAGTTCAGTAGGAAGAGTACTTGTAGCTCAGGATTGTAGCTCAGTGGGTAGGGAGCCTGTAGTTCCATGGGTACAGTGCTTATAGCTCAGTAGTTACAGGGCTTGTAGTTCAGGAGCTAGAGTGCTTGTAGCTCAGTGGGCAGAGCGCTTGTGACTCAGTGGGTAGAGTGCTTGAAGTTCACTAGGTGGAGTGCTTGTAGCTTAGTGGGGAGAGTACTTGTAACCCTAGTACCTAGTAATGGAACCTAGTCCTGTAAACCTAGTACCTCGTACTGCAACCTAGTGCCACAAGCAGTACTAGTACTGCAACCTAGTAGTGTAAACCTAGTAGCTAGTACTGTAACCTAGTACTGTAAATCTAGTACCTAGTACTGTAACCCTAGTACCGAGTATTGTAACCTAGTACTACACACCTAGTCCCTCCTACTGCAAGCTAGTACCTAGTACTGTAAACCTAATATCTAGTGTGGTAACCTAGTACTGCAAACCTAGTCCCTAGTACTGAAGAACTGCCACATTCATGGGTACTGGGGAGCTCCGAGAAGGAAAAAACCCATGTGCATGTGGGCCTGTTGGCAAAGCCTCAAGGAAATGCCTGCTGAAGGTGCTAGGTGCACAGTCCACCTAGGAATCGCTTGACTCTGTAGATGACTTTTGAATGCACACTTAGCTCATGAGATAGGAAACACATGCGGAAAGTGCTGAACTCGGTTCATCGGGCATTTTCCGACTCAGACCAGAGAAAATTGTAGGTTCCACGATGCGCTCAGTTGCCCCGGCGACTGGGTAATTACCACGGGATGGATCTGGACGTTAATTTATGCACGCCTAGTACTGTAGGAACGCGAAATTAAAGCCTGGGACCGAGGATCCAGCACCCCGTAATTTCAGCCGTCATTGTCCGCCCCACGGCTGGAAACCAGCTGGAACCAGTTTAGAGACCTCAGATGACACACAATGTGCAAAGTGAAACAGACTCGAGTTTCCCGATTCAGACGTGTGTGCACACGGCCCACCCCGTGCTCCCATGATGCTCTGCTCCTCCAAAGGTGAGAGACACAGAGAGAGAGAGAGAGAGAGAGAGAGAGAGACATCCACCATCCATGACCATCCATCATCCATCCATCATCCACCACCCCAGCTGGGGCTGCTACAGGGAGACCCTGCTCAGAAACACCAAATCCATAATAAGTGAATAAATAGCAAATAAACAAAATAAAAATAATCTAAAACTTAAAAATAGATAAAATAATTTAAAATTAAACAAATAAAAATACAAATAATTTAAAATTCACAGTAAATGAAATAAACATAATTTAAAATGAAAATAAATAAAATTTAAATAATCAGGGGCTGGACAGATGGCTCAGCGGTTAAGGGCACTGACTGCTATTGCGGACGACCTGGGTTCGATTCCCAGCACCCACATGGAGGCTATGAACCGTCCTTAACTCAGTTCCAGGGGAACCCGAAGCCGTCGTCCGACCTCCGCGGCATTGCATGTCACGGGTGCACTCACGTACATGCAGGCAATACGCTTGTACACATAAAAAAAATTTAAAATAATTAAAAATTAAAATAAATCAAGTAAAAATGTTTAAAACTTAAAAACACACAGACTAAAAATAATTAAAAATTAAAACCAATATTTAAACAATTTAAAAATTAAAACTACCCGTTGCGTGGTGGCGCACGCCTTCAATCCCAGCACTCGGGAGGCACAGGCAGGCGGATGTCTGTGAGTTCGAGGGCAGCCTGGTCTACACACTGAGTTCCAGGACAGCTGGGGCTGCAGGGAGACCCTGTCTCAAAAAAACCAAAAAAAAAAAAAAAAAGAAAACAAATAAAATTAATTTCAAACAATTTAAAAATTAAAAATAGGGGCTGAATTGTTGCTTTAAAATAATCAAAAGATTCTTTCCTATGAGAACCTGGAAGGGGGACTGGAGAGCTGCTCAGGGGTTAACAGCACTGGCTGCTCTCGCAGAGGACCCGGGTTCGAGTCCCAGCACCCACATGGCAGCTAACAACTGTCTGTGACCCGAGTTCCAGGGGATCGCACGGCCTCTTCTGACCCCCGTGGGCACCGCACGACACGGAGGAAGAGGAGGAGGAAGACGAAGGAGGAGGAGGAGGAGGAGGAAGGGGAGTAAAAAAGAGAGTGGTGAAGTCTACATTTCAAAGGTACCCTTCTCTTCCATGTGTCTCCCAACGTTTTTCTGAGGAAACCAAGCCCGAGGAAAATAGGGGCATAAGCACAGGATTATCACCAACACCAGAGCAGTGGAGATGCCTAGGAAAAACCACCTACTCATCAGTAGCACAAGGTCAAGGAGCTCATCCCCCATGGTTAGGGACTTTGGGTGGTGTATGAGAAAAGTCCATTTATTTCTTTGACTTATTCTTGCTTTCCTTTCTGAAAGGTGTGGTGGGTTGTATTCAAGTGTGACAAGAGTAAGAACAGTGCACAAGGCATGGTACTCATGCCTTTAATATCAGCACTTGGAAGGCCAGCCTGGTCTACATAGTGAGTTTCAGGCCAGCTTGGACTACAGGGAGACCCTGTCTCAAAAAGACAGAAGGAGGAGGAGGAGGAGGAGGAGGAGGTGGATCCTCCGAAAACGCCGTCAGACAGAGCTGCGCTTTTCAGGACCGTGGCGCCACCTGCCGCCGAGCGCTGACGTCACTCTTCCTTTAAGGTCCCGGTTCCGTTTCCTGCCAGCCCAGCTGCCCGTGTGGACTGCAGCTGCGGGAGCTTCAGGACGCTGTGCATGAACTGGGCTTTCAGCACAAAGCACCTCCCCGTGGTGCGGTTAACAGAAGTGCACACGACCCCACTGCCACCAAGTACTGGGGGGTGAAAAAAAAAAAAAAACCAGATCGATGGAATAGTACGGACTCATGAAAAGTGATTAAAAACAAGAAAAGTCTCCACTACCTATGATCGCTCTCTCGCTTCCTGTCCGCCATGACGTCAGCATCTCTGCTCCATTGCGTGCTCCCACGATGCGCTGCTGCTCGGACGAAGTGACGTCATAGCGGCACGTCCTAGGCGACACTGGGACCCCAGTCTCCTCTCTCTCTACTTCCCGTCCACCATGACGTCAGCAGCTCTGCCCTACCCAGTGCCCCGTACGGTGCTGAGACGCTGTGTCCGGGTCC